ATATCGCCGCCACACTCGTATTCTTCCGCCAGTTCGAAATCATCGCCTCTTCCACGAATGCGTGCACCGCTATGTGGTTCGCGAGGCGTACGTCGGTAGTCGTGTAGGAAGGCAAGTGTGCGACCCGATTTTGGAAGGCAGGCCCTCACATTCGTAGTGCTGAGCGTTGATTCTTCAGTTGCAGAAGTCAAGTAGCAAAGTAGGTACCCTGTATGGCGAAGTGGAAATGCACCGGCGTTGTGGGAATAATCTGAGTAGAGCGGTGATCTGTGTGGTGCTGTGTTACCACGCGCTCTGGTATTGTAAATATCGTTTTGAGTGTTGAAACTATTGTCCTGTGTGCTGCTCTGGATCGATCATACGACAATTTGACTATCATACTCTGCCCTCATGTCACTGTATATGAACCAAATTGTTTATTTTTATTATTATTCGAGCCACAGCTCGTACAGGTTGCCTTTGCCTCATTCAGTTTAGGTATTTATGCAAATAATACCGTTCTTTCTCATCCCATTTCTCTAGCCAATGGTAGGGTTCGCTTGGAGGTAGCACATCATATGTCAAACCGACAGATTGCTCTTGCTCCCACAATGGCGATCGATAGTAGGCACACTTGCTGCACGTGCATGGCTCTCGTATATCCATATATTCGAACTGATCCGCGAGAATGTCAATTTCGCTCATCGCAATCCATAAGTTATTAACTTTGCTGAATGCGTTCTCCAAGATTTTACCTTCATTCCAAGCTTGAGCTCTCTGTTCGGTGCTCCGAACGTCTGCCATCTGGATGTCGACTTCAATTTTGACATCAAGCATCTCTGCTTTTTCGACAAGAAATGTTTTCAGATATTGCAGTCGGTCACGTATCATTTCGGTAGTTATCTAAACGTTGTAGTAACGAAAAGGTGTTAGTACCATCATAACATATACGAATTTAAGACTGGTCTTTCGTACCTCTGAAAGCTCCATACACAGCTGCAGCCAGCGTACCATCCATACAAAGTGATGTCTGTCGTAGCCGCTGTATGGATCCTTGGAATGGTCGACATTCATAACGTACATTTCCTTTACCGGCAACATCTCAATAAAGTCATCAACGTCTTTGGTTGAGTGGAATACATTCTCAAAAACCTGCAATTAAAAAAACGTTTGCATGTTAGCAGTTGTATCCATGACACCCTCAGTTTGAATGTTGACGCAGTACTCGATCTTTTGCTGGTATAAACACGGGAAGCAACGAGTCAAAGTTGAGTCTGCGGTGGCACCTGAAATGAACAAGCGCGTCTTTTATAACGATCGGTTTGTAAAGCTGCTCTCCATTGGACGCTGCAACTCCTGCAGTGAAAGGTAGCTGCAAGACGTGTATGTCAGTAAGAAAACTAGATTCGCTATTAGCACCACACTAGTTACCTCTGCCTTGTCGAGGCGCCAATCCATTCGGGAATGAATTCCAAGTTGCTAGTGCCAAGTAGATAGCTGTTTTGGAAATGAAAAATGCCAGAATGAGAGAACATCATCACCTGAGTCTCCTAACCGCAAGTTGCAGTTCAGAGACACTTCGTGGTGCAGTCTGCAGCAAGGAAGGAAGTTCGTATCAAGTTGCTTCTTTACGTTGCAGTTGGGAACCAGCTAATACTAAGAGTAGTACAATCGTACCTGCCTAGTATTAGATATGCAGGTACACCACTGCAAGTGGTATGGATTCGAAAAAGTGTGTGTTTGGTGAGAATCTAGAAAACAAACAAACTTGGAGCTGTACTTATCGAAAGGTCGCTCAAAACAATCTAGAAGAGTATGACGTGAAAGAGCGAGCTAGTAAGTTAAAAATGAAGTTCATCTAGAATCAGCATGTAATGGCCGGTAACCCTCATCTTGAACATCTTTGCGTGGATCAAACAGACTACGTCAAGAATGTTGGCAACTGCGTGCAGTGGCAATGAACGTTTAAGCTTCAATGATGCAGCTGTCACCACTTCCACGCGCGGGGAGAGGGAGCAGAACCAAAGGCAGCGTTCACGACCGACATGTAGTAGCAGTGACAATACGGTCACTAGCAGCCGCGTCGCGATGGATTCCACGCAACAGTTGTAGCAGCTGTTGAGTCGGAGATAGCGGCGTCGTCGTCATGTCTCCCAGTTTGCTGTCGATCACCAAGCTGTCGATGGCTGTCGTCTCCGGCCCTTTGGTAGCAAGCACCTCGTTGCTGTGTCTCCTCCGATATCGTCGCCACACTCGTTTTCATCGCACTGGTAGCAGTACTCGCCTCCTCCGCATATGCACGCACCACCACTACGTGATCGTTTACCAGTAAACTAGCAAATCATCGCACAAGATTGTTGTTGCCGTAGCCGTTTCGCGTTCACATCGGTTACGGAATGCAGCGACCAGTGTAGCAACGGTATCGCTCCAAACGGGCAGCATGTATGACTGACGTTCGGCGCCCATGTAGCGTTAGCATCGTACAGCGTGCGGACCGGCGTGGCGACAGCGACTTGTCGGCGTTAGCATCTTATGTGTGGACCAGCGTGACGACAGCATGGGAATCGAGCAGCATTTCCACCCGAGATTTCGGTGGTGTCAGGCAGCGTGCAATGGTAGTGACATCGGTCAGTGTCAGGCGGCGGGTGGGTTAGCAGAGATGGGTGGGGGCAGTCGGTATGAACCCGAGTGTTCACAAGAAAGGAAATTGCGGAATGACACTCGTTGGGGCTTGGCGTGCGCTCGACGCCCCCGCACGCGAGTTTGAATCGTTGACCCTCCAAAGCGGCTTGTTTCGCGCCAAAACATTGCGAGCTTCAATGTTGAAGTCACGTTTTCGCCGGTGTCCTCGGTTTGACCAATCAAATAGCATTCCGATGATTCCAGCAGTCTGATTGGCTAGCAAAGTGATCTTTAATATACGCGTATGGCTACCTATTTCGATTATGGGTAGTACCTATTTTTGCTATGAGGTTGCAGTAGTTATACCCGACAGCATATGCTCCTTTGTCGGGTCCGTTTTGACGTAGAAAAGCGTACCTGAGGAAATGTAAGCCAGTAGCTTTGTGCCTGTACGCTTCAAAACCACATCCTCAAAAAAGGTAATCCTAACTTTGATCCTGGAGGTAGTAGTTAGATCTCTACCACAGCATGTCGTTCGCCAATTTGTGTAGTATTATGCTCTGGGTTTTACAATGACATCAGAAATAGTTTTTAGGCATCGTTTGCTACAATTGCTCATTATGTACTTTGGTTAGGCAAGTTGATTCCTCCAATCGAGGAAAGTCACCACTTTTATATCATCATGGAACTTAGTCCTCGTGGAACGGCACGCATTAGCGAGATATTTGAGCATTTGACTGTTTAAACTCACTCAATGTTTGAATATGTATGTGTATTTTAGCTGTTTGACCGCGTGAAATCTCGGGAAAATGCGTCTCCGGAAGATGAAGTGAAGAATATCATACGCATTTTGGCATCGTTTGCTCAGTATTTGCACTTTCACCGTATTTCGACTACCACATTTACTTCGAAGTATCATGTTTCGTACTAATATATTACAAAACCTACACTTTTACAGCAAACAATGTCAAACTAGAGAATATCCTGTTTGAGATGTTGGATAACGGCGGACAGCTCAAACTTTGCAATTATGGGGCACTTTCAGCTGCTCTATCACTATAACGGTGGTAAGTAGTGGAACACCGCTGCATATTGAAGCACACATAGTTTTCTGAGCAAAAAATGCGTAGTTTTCTGAGAAATCTACTGCCACCGTTGAGCAATAGCTGGTAATAGCTATTGCACAACGGTGGTTGTAGATTTCTCAGAGCACCTTCTCATAATTTTTCTTGTAAGGCCTCATTGCTCGCCCACACAAACCAAAAGTCATCGTCGACTGCCACCGTCTGGTAATAGCTATTGCACAACGGTGGTTGTAGATTTCTCAGAGCACCTTCTCATAATTTTTCTTGTAAGGCCTCATTGCTCGCCCACACAAACCAAAAGTCATCGTCGAAGCCGAAGCTGCAAGTGGTCGATACTATGCCACCTCTAACGCGGCGCAAAAAGAACGCTAGGGCTTGAAATCGACGCCTGGATGGGTCTTTTTGGCGCAAACGTTTACAGCACGAGAAAGTCGACCCTGGAAGCAGCGACGAAGAAGACGTTGGTGGCATCCAGTATCGCAACCGACAAGGCGGGCTATTCGCAACGCGGAACGAACGCAACGCAGAAATCGAATACGAGATCGAAAAGCTATATGCTAAGAGATGGATCAACGACTCCACCTTCTATCTGGTATCGGAAGTTTCTGAGCCATTGCCGCTTTTACTCGCCAATTGACAATGGCCCTAGCCAGTGAGAAGCACTCGTGGAGGCTGTCTCTGCGTCGGAAATCCATTACCCTTCAGTCTCCATACACGACTATCGAATGTGTTGGAAGAAGACCATCAGAACGCCTTCGACCCGAACGCGAGGACCATCAAAGTGTGGGAGCATTTGCTGTTGCTCAGTGTGTTGGTCGAGCCTTTTCTAGTCCCGTACGTCTTAGCGTTCCAGCCGGAGGTGGTGGAATCCGTATCCCCACTTTTCATTGGATTTATGGCGTGTGAAGAAGGAGTTTTCGCCATGGATTTGTATATCCAAGCGCACACTGGATTTTACTCCGACGGGAATCTCATTCGAGACAAGAAACTCACACGTCGTACCTACCTAAGGTCGGTCCAGTTTGTAATGGATATTATCGCGGTGTTACCGTACCAGATTTTGTGGTGATTTACCCGAAATTAGTGGCGAAGTTGCTGCTTTTGAAGCTACTTCGATGGTCCAGAATTCCGCAGTTCGTGTCGAGTCTGGACGAGTTTTACGCCAAATATTTCGTAGTTTTAAAGCTGCTTAAAGTACTGGCGTTTACGGTGTTTTTGGCCCACGTCCAAGCGTGTATCCGGTTCAACTTTCACCACTACAAAGAAGAAAGTGTTGCTCACAGTCACGCTCTGCATAGTCAGTATCTGGCGTCCATGTTCTGGAGTGTCGGGATCATGACGGGGTTATTCGAGGGAGAGCTCCCGCACCACAGCATCGAGTTCCTGTTCACAATTCTAGTGGCGTTGTGTGGATTTTCCATGTTTACGACTCTCTGCGCGACGATTTTCGTCATTTCCAAGTGCGAAAGCGGCCAAACGGAGGCCATGGAGGCGCGGATTAACCAGCTCGTTCATGTTTTGTCCTTCCATCGCGTCCCGGAAGATCAACAAACCCAGGCGATTGAATATCTAAAGGTGCGTATTTAAAGATTTTTCTAAAAAAAATTGTTGACCCTAATTTTAGATTTTTTTTTTCAAAGCGCTATTACACCGATACGGAATCCCACGACCGCGAGACTTGTAAACTGCTGTGCCCGTCGATCGCTAATGACATCCAAGTGGAGCTTTGGAAGGCAACCATCGCGGATATTTCCATCTTTGAAGGGTGCACCGACCAGTTTATCGTGGCCATGACGAGTCTACTGGAAATGGTCGCGTTCCCCGCCCAGGCCACATTATTTTCCACAGGGGATCACGGAGATGCCATGTATGTGGTCCACTCTGGAGTTTTCGCTATTGTCATCAATTCGGTTATGGTCCGCGAGATCCGCAAAGGCTCCTGCTTCGGAGAACTCTCGGTCTTTTCTACCATGCCACGCACAGCCACAGTGATCTCGACAACCTATGTAATTTTATACAAATTATCCAGGTTTCACTGCGAACGAGTTCTACAGGGATATCCAGAATGCGCTTCTCTGATTCACCGACACGTCCACCTTTTGTTGAGTCAATTGAGTCAGAGCGCAAGCAACCATGCGTCTTCCTCTTCGAGTTCGTCAATAAAATCTGCAGGAATCCGACGCGCATCAGTTGCCTCGGCCTTTGTGAAAGTTTTATCCAAGCGAGGCAGAACGGCGGCTGTGTTTACCTCTCGGAGGAGCATTCTCTCTTGGCTCGGACGGAGAAGCTCCGTCACTCCGGAATCTGTTGACCAAGGTGACCCAAGTGGAGCAGGGAACGAAGACATGTTTCTATCCCGGAAATCCAAAATCCGCAGATAAAATCTACAAATCCGTACGATCGCCATGACTCTAAGGCAACACTGACAGCGGATTATTTCGGATTATGTCGACTTATCCTGCTTCGAAAATGCATCGATCATCGCTCCACTGTGCGCAAGTGGTGGCTGCTTTTACTGCTGATAAATCTGTATTTCTGCTGGCTTGTGGTGCCCGTTCAAGTGACGTTCCCGCTGTGGCAACGACCAGGGTGGTTCATCCAGCTCTCTCAAATATCGGATTGTGGCTGGATGTTTTCCTGAATTTCAGTTTATCCTTCACGGTGGATTCGGAGTCGATACTGGACCCGAAACGGAGTGCGGAGCGGTATCTATCGAGCTACTTCATCTTCGACCTGCTGTGTGCTCTGCCGTACGAATATCTGCAAATGACAAAGTATGGCCTCATGCGACTGCCTCGTTTGCTGCGGATTTTCCATCTGAGCAAACATCGGAGCGAACTGTCGTATTTTATCCAATGCACCAGCAGACGACAGATTCTTCTGCTTGGAATGCTGCTGTTTATGATTATCCACCTCGTCACATGTATCCACTTCGGGATCTCGTTCTTGGAGGGATTTAATCCGCACCACGAAGAAGCCTGGATATCCTCCATAAATCTATGCTTGAGCAGATTAAACACGACGCACTTGGAAGACTGCAACGGCACAATGTTCGATGAAACGTTGGGTTTTCACGAGCTACAAGCGATTTCTTTCTTGCAATACTCGCGCTCTCTTTACTACGCAGTAGGTGTGCTGGCATCCCCCGGGAAAAGCGTGGAGCCTACCCACAGACATGCAACTAATAGCGGCAGTTATTCTCATGTTGAGTGGATTTTTTGATCACGGCGATTGTCGTGGATAATGTGCAGAAACGCTTCACAGCCTCAGCCTTCGAGCAGAAGAAGTTCTTCGCTACAAGCACTCGAATCCAGCTCTTCGTGCGTCGCCAGAGCGCCCCGTTAGCTATTGTAAAATCCTTCTTGGATTATTGGTGGTCTTCCCATCGAGGTGCCGTGGACTGCGCGAGCGGTGTCCGGGACGTCACCATTGTAGCAGCAACAGCATCGCACGTCTCATTCACGATGTAACTTCGTGTTGATCTGTCGAACTGGAAGATACTATGGTCGAGAATACCAAGTTTATTCTGTACGGCCAAGGAGAAATCGTGTACCGACATTGAGACTCGGTGGTCGGGATGTTTTTCTTACTGGAGGGACAAGTGTACATGGTGGAGAAGGGGGACTCGTCTCGTGAGATCCCTCGAGGCTCGTTCTTTGGCACTGCAGTGCTCACACAACTGGAGCGAGGAGAAGGCTATACGGAGCATGTGAGTGCCAACAGTGGCTGCATTTTACTATTGGTGTCTCGAGACCAACTTCAGGCGATGGAGCTAATTTTTCCGACTCTCAAGGAGGAATTCCTCGCACTGGAACAACGACTGCAAGGCAATAAACTGGCGACTACGCGTGTCATAAAATCCACGGTAACAGTGATATCGTCCCGAATTCTGCAGAATCTGGTATCTACTGTAAAAGAATCTGTCGTCTCTGTACACGACCCAGATTCTCCGTTTGTACTGGCGTGGGAGACGTGGGTGTTCGCCGTGATGACACTTCAGTGGGCTCTGGTGATGCTGCAAGCGTGTTATCCCATGGAAAGTAAGCACAAGGTCGCAGACGCGTTGATGATTTTTCTGGAGCTTTCGTTTGTCTTGGATATTCAGATCCGTTCTCGACTTGGATATTACGAATTCGAAAATAAAATCATGGATCCAAGAGAAAATATCTACGATCCGGAACATTGATGTTGGATATTCTCGCGCTGATCCCGTTTTTTATCGTCAACCTGGCTGTACCTTCAGATAAACGATGGGATCTTCTCAACGTCAACAAGCTCCTGCGCTTGTTCAAAGTCCCGAAACAATTCCGCGCTCTGGAAACGAAATATCTGAAACACACGACCGAATTGCGACTATTTAAGCTGCTGTACTACACATTCATGCTGTCGCACTTTTTGGGCTGTATCTGGTTTAATTTCGCATCCAGAGCGGCTGTTTCGAGCTTTGCCAGCGTCGAAGCGAGGACACCAGCGTTCGGAGCCAACCACTGGCTCCCCTCGGAGCAGCTGGAGCACGGCTCGCATGTCCTGCAGTACATGGCGTCGCTGTACTGGTCGTTCGGGCTCATGTCGGCGTCCAGCGAGCCAGAGTTCCCGAAATCCACGGCCCAGTGTTTATTCAGTGCTGTAACCATGACGACGGGTTTTTCCTGATCGCCTACGTGATCGGGAACTTCACGGATATTGTCGAGCTCAACAGCTCCGAGACCAGAGAGTTTAGCGCCAAGATGCGGTCCGTACAGAAAATGTTGGACCATTTCCAGATGCCCGAGGAGCTGCAGCAGCGCGTCAAAACGTTTTTACTGTTTAAACGCTACCACTCCATCACGCAGGAAGGGCTTTTAGTGCGCTGTCTGCCGCCGTCTCTGCTCACGGATATTCGCCTGGTGCACCTGAGGCCGATGATCGAGAAGGTGGAGTTTCTACGAGGCATGGAAGGGTCCATCACGCGGATGTTGGTCTCTCAGTTCATTAATCTCCCGTGGGGAATCTATCTGCAGTTTCGAAGAATCTGGCAGCGACATGTTCTTTATCTTCGCTGGAGTCTTGGATATTCTAGTCCCTGCACGCATAGCAAATCGCCACAGCGGAGCGTTTAAATCTGTGATAAAAAAGCTTGTTGCGAAGCCTAGTGGCGGATCTGGAACGATAGGTTCAAATCCGAAATTTGGAAGTGGCTCTGGAAATCTCACTAAACCTGGAACTCTAATTCGGACTTCAAATCTCGGTGGATCTGGTGCGTTAAATCGCGTTAATCCACTGAAAAAAGAGAATTCCAACTGTGAACGCCAAGAACAACTGGTGAAAGTGAACGAAATATCTTCGGAGAGAACGGATTATTCACCAATGGCAAACGGAACGCGTGTGTGCAGGCGCAAACCTGCTGTATCTTGTACAGATTATCTCGAGAATCAATGGAGCTCGTGTTCGCCAGATACCCGAAATGGAAGCAGAAAGTGCTGCGGATTGCGAATATCCGACGAGAACAAGACAGAATACTACAACTTTCCCATAAGAGCAACGACGCGGCATGGCTACAATTACTGGGATGATGCTGTCCCGGGCAGATATTATGAATGAACGAGCAGAGCAGCTGAAGGAGAAGCTGGATCACGCACGCTTGAAGCGCAGTGACAGCGAACAGCTCAGTCTTATCAGCATAACGCTGACAGGTTTTGTGAAACGATATATCCAGAATCCATTCATGGATATTATAAATGGGATTATCCATGGCGTTCCCGTTCAGACGAAATTTCACATCGCGTGGCTACGCTTAATGGTATTCTGCACCATGTACGTTGCTGTCATGATACCGTATGATTATCTATGGACGCGCTGAACAGAGTTACACTGGTTGCGACCTCTGCTAACGCTGTGGGACTGCTCTGTGAAGTGGCTTTTATTTTGGATATTTGGTCAGCTGGCACATCCAGGAATCTCCGACGTCTCTGGAGCTGTACGAACAAAATCTACGCAGCGTGTACAAGAAGCAGCGGATGTTCTGTGATGTCATTGCTGCGATCCCCTTCTGCGGCGTCTTGTTCGTGTTCAGCTGTCGGCCGTGGATAAAACTTCTACGTACGATGCGTCAAAATCGTCAACGTCATGGGATATTTGGACGAGATAAATCGTCGTAGTGTGGCCAACGAGCTGACCCACTTCTTGCACGTCTGGATGATGTATCTGCTGGTTATCCACTGGGTCGCCTGCAGTTATCTCGCTGTGGCGACAGAGGTAGGCTTTGGGACACAGTGGGAGTCATGGCTACCTTCTTAGGAATTAGAAATATCCGATCCGGAAAATCCATCCTCGTCCCAATTATCGAAACGTTTCTTACGTGGATTATTCTTCGCTACCACAGCCTTCGTAAAGAACGCTCGCAACATGAACCCGGAGACTGCAGTGCTATACACTTATCAAATCACACGTAGGCCTCATCACCATGTCGTTCGTGATTGGAGAACTAGCGAGTCTCTTAATCTCGTACATTGGCCTGGAAGTGGATTTTCGCAAAAACCACATCGCAGTGGAGCTCTATCTGGCGTGTCAGTGAGCGTCTAAAATCCAGGACGTACGCGTTTATGACGTCGCTGTGGTCTTCTCACGCTGGCGTCAACTATGACGAACTTTTGGAGGAAATGCCGCGTCCTATTCGCGTTGCTTGTGTGCTATACGCGTCCAAAGAGCCGTTGGATTGGTTCGTCATGAAGGTGTTTACTCCCATCTGTTGGAGCGGCAAGAGCGTCGTTGAAGCCTTCACGCTCTCATTGGCTGAGCAAGTGCGATTTGAAGGATATCCTTGAGATGAGAGTGTCGTCACGGAAGGAAGCATCGTTCGAGCCATGTACTTTGTCACAAATGGGCATTTAAACATGCAGAGCAACTCGCTGTTGGATCGACCGGTTGGATTAGGCGCTGGCAGCTACTTCGGGGAGCGTGGGCTGCTTGGATCTTCTATCAGTGTGTATACTGTGCGAACGGTGCGAGCGTGCGACTTGTTCTCTCTTAGCTCGGAGGCGTTTATTCAGGCCATTCAGCAGCATGGATTTTCTTGGTTAGCGTTGGATATTTGTACTCGTTCGTACAAACAGATTAAAGAAAAACGTGTCGTGACGTGCTCGGAACACGAGATGGAAGAGCACTGGGGGGCGGCGTTGCTACTGACTGTCCAAGAGATTAGTAGGCAAGGACAAGCTACTGCTAGTGGTGAAGAATCTGCGGAGCAGGAAGTAGAAACATCTTCCAGTACGGATTTTAAGTTGCTATCTGATGCGGTCGTTAGCAGGAGTGAAACCACAGAAGAAACGAGCATAGACGACGCAGAGTTACCGGCTCATTTGGAGGCGATGACGAAGGTGCTGAAGACCCCGACGACTGTTTTCAAGCGTTGGCACCGCTACTTCACATTATGCTGACCACAGATCCACTGGATTGGAGCACAACGCTCTCCACACCTGAAAGGCATTGTCTATTTTTAAGAAAACGCTGTTTCTAAAGAGTGAGATTTGAATATAACGTTGCATCGCCAAGCGTACCGTATTTCTCTTAAAATAAAAAAAGCTAGCGTATGCCTGAAATCAAAGCAACAAGTACAGAAGCCCCCCCCCTGAATAAGCGTAGCCTGTACTTTATATACCTTCTTATATCGGATCACATGGATTGGGGATACCTTTGACAAATCACAAGAGCACTGAGAATTCCCTATGTAAGTTAATCAGACAACCCCCTACGCTTATTGAGGTCGACTTCTGTACGCGATGGCCTCGAGCCCTTAGCATGCCATAAAATTGACTGACTTCTGTAGTGGCGATCGCGTCTGGCTGCCTGTCTTCGCAGTCTTTGGGAGTAAGCGAAACGATGATAGAGCTTTCCCATCGTCGCCGTTGAGCTGAAGACGTCAGTGTCGTCAATGCGGTGATGGGGCAGTATTGCTCTCTATTCACTTAATGGACCTCCTGTGCATGCAGAGCACTACGTCCGGACGCCTGTATACTGGCTACAATCATTTAAGAGCTTCTTGATCTGATCGTCATTTTCTGCCCCACTTCAAGTAGCACAGTGATGAGATGTAGCGAGGAAGACCTCGTAAACCTCGTTTTTGGGTTACATAATCGTCCGATTCACTATTTATTTCACAGTCTGAGTCGACCTTCAACTCCTTGCTGCCGAAAAGCTTGTCCACTACCTCTGCAGCTCTTGACTGCATTTTGTACTTCGCTTTGAATTCGCGGGGATCAATCCTCCAGGACGCTGTGTCGCAACCGTGGAATTCACCTAAGTGGATTGTCGACTCAGCCAACCGCGTCGAAGGGACCTGAAGATTCATCGATCATGTTCCATTTTACGTTGAAGTACTTTGGTAACGTTATGCTTAGTAAGCATATCTCAAAGGGACTTGTATCGACTGTGTGCCATTTCCTAGCCACTTGTACATGCTAGAGTATTGATAATTCTCTCAATCTGAAGCTCGTCTAGACTCCTCAGTACGAGGATGTTTAACGGCACGACGATAAAGCCCAGTAACGCTTGGATTGCGGACGAAGGAAAAAGAAATAACCCCAAAGGTGCGGCGAGTGTTTGCCGTTACTAAGCACCGGGGCAACTCACTCATTAAATGTACTACATGGTTGTAATCATTTGAACAAGAAAAAACTTGAAGATGACGCGGTTTTACCTTTTCAAGGTGCTAGCCGAACGACCTTTTCAGATCGTCTCGATGGATTTTGTGATCCCACTACCGAAAAACTTCAGTACTGACAGGACGGGGAAAGACGGCGTTGCACTGCTCTACTTTCGACGATGCATACGAAGTAGCCAAACTTCTGCTGGATAGTGGAGCCAACATTGACGCGCTGGATGAGGTACTAGAGTCGTATCGATCTAGATACATTTTTGTTGACTAACAGGGCGCTATAGAATGGCAGGACTCCGCTCCACTATTGCGTGCACGAAGGAGGGTTGCTAGTGACGGACCTTCTGCTCTCTCGTGGTGCGTCTATCGACCTGGAAGACAAGGACGGCGTCTCTGCCTTGATGCTCACAATACAACGTGCGAACGTGAACATTCTTCAGCTCTTCCTGAACCATCATCAGTGTGTAGCTACGTCGTATCGGCACGACTTTGCTCAAGCCGTTTTACTGCAAGCGGTGACTTTGGGTGAGGAGACTTTGGTCTTCTATATCTTGGAGAATGAATACGCTCCCGTGACGACACGGAATGATGAGGGAGAGACGGCATTCCACTGCGCTATCGTGAGGCGGCGTCCCTCCCTTATGGAACTACTGGCCGACTTTGACCCTACGGGAGACATCTTGAGTGTTACTACTGTGAATTTCGAGACCCCCGCACACTACGCTGCTAAGTACGGTGGAGACACTGCTACAGTGTTTAACGAGCGTGTTCGGCGACTTACAGGAGCTTGGAGAAGCCAACCCGTTGAACGCACTGAGTCATCACGGTAGGACGAGTCTGTTCCTCGCAGCGACTACCGTGTCTCACTCGAAATTTGACCGAACAACTTCTACTGTAAACCACGTTGAGCGTAACGCCAAGACGACATTACTGATGCGTCACGGGGCACGATTATTCCCCCCAGACGTCCTGATACACGTCCTGTCGGCCTCTACCTCTTGTCTCATTCTCCCACTACAATAATAATAAGTGTGAGGTGTATTGTGTTACCTGCCCATACGTGTATGTGCCTGAACTCTAATACCCATTCCCAACTTGCATGAAATGCCCGGTCAGGTTGTACCTACTCAGCCTGTACCTGCTGAAGCCTCCTTTCGCATTCTTATCGTATTGTTTATGCCTCTCCCTCCGTGTTCCGTCCTCTTTGCCATTCCTGAACGTCTCCCGTTGCCCAGTGCTCCACCTTTAGCCTCAGCTCGTGACCTTGCTCTTCTTCGCTAGCCCCATAAATCACACTCTTGCCTGTGTCCATAGCGTAGTTCGCTAGCCAGTCCGCTGCTTTATTGTACTTCCGATAGTGGTGCTTCCATACTGTCACCTGCCCTTGGTCTGCTAGCCTCCTGGCGATCCTGTACCAAGACTTCAGCCGCTTCGCTTTTGGCTCCTTGCGCCTCTGCATGAGCCCAAGGATCATTGCGCTGTCCCCCACCACCTGCATTCCTCTCCAATTGCGCGCCACGGCTTCCGCCAACAATCTATGCAGTCCCGCATTCTCCCACTACAAGTACAGCACTGTCTACGGACTTGGCTCGTAGAACAAGCCTACCTCGAAACGAAAGTAGAGCCTGAGGACGAGGAGACAGTTTGCACTGGCGCTGACACCAACGTGGTCGAAGCGTTGACGGAGCTCTGCGTGCAGTGGATGTCGAGTGTGGTGTGTGCAGGTAAGTGGGTATCGCTGCTTCCTATTGTCATCTGTGCTGGCTACGCACATGAAGTGGTACCGCTGCTTGTGGGGCTGCGTATACAACGACGGACGATGCTACATTTACTACGCCAGCTCGAGAAGTTCGCACGGCTCCAGCTGCACCACCCTCTTCTCCTGCAGCTACATGATGAGCTACTTGAAACATTGCAAATAGTTGAGAGGCAGGTTTGAGGCGTACAAAATACTGCCGCGATATTCTTATTAAGATCTAATGAGTACAAATCAAAGATTCTATCGTTCCATGTATGGACATCCTCATCGTACGGAAGATATGCCTTGAGGCTCTTGCTTAAGTACAAGGCCAAGACGGGTCTCCAAAGGGTCTTTGTCGCCAAATTGTGTTCAAGACCACAAGTGATAGTATTCCGTTTTAGGGTGCACCAAGTAAATAAATGAATTTGATTCGCTTTGGCAATAGTGTGGCACAACGAGAATCTGGTACTCCAGGAAAAAAGTATGATTTCTCATGCCAATACATTTAGTTTACGCGATCAATTGTGCCGATCGAGGCACTCCCTACGATAAGGCTGCACTCCGGACTGATACGTGCATGACGAAACACCAATGACACGTCCTCCAAGTTATCCAGTAATTGCAGCAACGGTGACACCATGTCCACTTGAGTGATCAGACTTACCACTCGGTTGATCGTTCCATCCCATCTGGAGAGAACTGATCCGTGCATGACAAGGATTTGGCCCTGCAGTCTGCAAGCAATACGAGACCGCTTTCTATCATTGCTAGGATCCGCTCTACTACTTGTAAGACCAGGGAACAGATTGCTCAGTGAGCGTGAGGTGAATGTGATGCTCGTCGTAGTTGTGGCTACAAGGGTGGCATCGGCAACCTGCTCCAACCCACGTAGTTGAATGTGAACCTCCTGGAAAAGCTCCGTGAAGACTGCCCAGTTTGTCACTAGAGCGTGTAATCCATGCACTGATCCAGCATCTAAGTCCTGTGCCATTGTGGCTCTTAAAAAGGTCATCACAGGCGGTTCATTTGCCGTAACTTGAACAATCGAAAAAAGTCCACAGCGACATGCCAAACAGAGCGCGTCAAAACAAAGCGCACGAGGGTATTTCGTTTCCGCCTTTGTCCTTCAATTTCCCGCTGTAGCTTGAGATTACATGCCTCTAGGTCCTCGATCATTTTGCGTTGTCTTGCCCTGTAGCGCTCTTGGTATTTACGACGACGTTCTCGACATTGTCGACGATAACTCCCAATGTCAACCATTTTTCTGTCGCCTGATTGTCGAGCCGATCAAACGGCTCTGGTCGATGTTGGCTTTACTGCACTTGTACCGGCAGTCGATGCTGGAGGAGATCTGTCCGTCGTCATGTCACTCTGTTCACACACAGACTGAGATTGCACGTAATAAGCTCGTGATCGCTGCACGACGCTAGCAATGACATTTCCACTGAGCTTTTGCAGGTTGGGCGGGTCGAGAGTGCTAGTAGAAGCTTGCATGGAAGAAGGAGGAGAAATTGCGAAGTGACTTGGGAGCTTAGTAGACGAAAGCAATGAAGGTAGGGTGGGCCGTGGGTAGGTGGGTACCGGTAATCATTGTGGCCGGCACTTATCAGTGGGAGTCGTGCGCACTTTGCGAATGATTTGTAGTTCTCTCGGGATGTGCAATCGGAGGATCCACACATGTATTGTTGGTACTAACATTCGCCTGTGTCGACTTAGCACTTGACATTTTTTCTTACAAACAACAGCGAGACTACGATACGATTGGGGATCCGAGCCATGGGGACTCGCAATTCTCAGCTCGCGCAGTCAGGGAGCATGATTTTTTGCCTAACTACTATATTAGAACCGTAGTACCGTCCACAAAACTAACAGATAGTACCATATGTCGCCACTTTGCGCAGTACTGATAAAACGTTTCCGTCGCTTTTACTTACAGAACAAATGTTTAGTTAATAAAAGCTGACTGCGAATAGAAAATTTGCGGATCGCACGCGTAAAGTTTATCGCTGTGCGTCGCTTGACCGTTTCATCATGCATTTCTCGATCGCGTTCCAGGTTGCACAGCGCAGCAATGGTGAATCCTACGCTCTTCCAGAAGAGAAAATGACTGACGAAGCTTCAGTGGCAGCTCATTTGTGACCGTCGACGATCGGTCCGCTGAACGAGCTCGTGGAGTGCGTTCTTTATTTAAATAATTTGATGTCGACAAATAAAGTATTAATATTTTTTCAAACATTTTGCAACTTTTAAGATCCGACTGAAGAACTTAAGTTTCTGGAACAGCTAAGGCTTTAGAATATCGTTCAGAAATATATACCAGTGGAATAATGAAGGTCGCGTTATTCCACTATTATAAATTGTTGGAATATCGGTCGGTAATCTATCTGTCATTTATTTAGATTTTATCCATTCCAACAAGAAACTAAAATCTCTACTGTAAAAAATGCTGCCAAACATCGCTGATTGGTTAATTTTGCTCAGTAGGCGTAGTGCTACAGGATGACAAACGTCCTAACACAGTTATTCAAGCAGCGAATATAGCGTATTCTACCGAATAAACTATCCACTCCACTTAACTAAAATAAGGATTATATTATTCTCTAGAAAGTTTTAGCCATTAGTGGCCAACAACATTTTTTCTGCAGGTGCTGTCCAGATTCCGCTAGCACTATTTTAGAAAATGGCAAATAGTTGATATCGCTATTTTGGACTGCAGCAGCAAGTATTTTTTTGTCATCCGGCTAAAGTAAGTTGGTAGCAAAATGCCTTGGATAAGCAATAGAAGCACCTTCTTAAAAAACAGTGAGAATGGGATTACCATGGGTCTACCGACGCTTAAGTGAAATTATTTTAGCATGAGCGACTCTCTAGCGTGTATTGAAGTGCATGTGGATAAATGTGTCTTCAGCCTTTGTCAATGGCGATATAAATTGGAAGCAGTAGCTCGATTCAAGCAAGATGGAGCAGAGTCGGCTAAAAATTCGTGCGAGGCTAGCCTCACACTTTCACGAGTGGGTTTCCAGTCTACTGATGCAGAAATTGCTAAACGGCGATATGTACCGTAATGCGCTTTCATGGGTTCACTACTCTACATTGCAGTCTGTTCTAGACCTGATATTGCCTACGGAACAGCTCATCTTTGCCATTTGCTCGGCAACCCCGGCCAAAGACTCTGGATGACGGCTTTTTACATTTTGCGCTATCTGCGCTATCTGAAGATGTCATCATACCATCACTTAAGCTGTAATACTTTGCACAACGCTGGTGCTCATCGCGCGTACTGCTGGGGAAGCAATCTCGACGATCGTCGCTCGGCACTAGGCGTTGTGCTAATGCAAAACGGTGTCCGGTGGCTAACAAGGCCAAATATCAACGTTTTGTCGTCTTACGTTCCGGCACAGCACAGTAGACGACACGCTTATGGCGCGCTCAAGAAATGGTGTGGGCACGGACGTTATTGCGGGAGCTGCATTGCTGGTAAGTGACAGCTACGACGATACCGCCTTGTCGAAAAACGTCGGCGTTTTGACCCGGACAAAGCACATCGATTTCAAACACCACTACATTTTAGAACGTGTTCAAAAGAAGAGCATTGTGGTGGGATGTGTCACGGGGCTTTCCAGACCAGGGGGGGGGGGGGGGCGTCTGTTGAACCCTCGACAGCCGTTGCCTTGACCGACAGTGACGTGGCGCTTCCGCGGTGTCCCTCCAGGTTTAACATTACCTCGCACGAGTCGCCGTACATCATGCACCAACGAGTACTCAGCTAGCACGGCTTCAACTCCTTTGCCAATTTCTCCACGGAGACGGCGCCTTCTCCCTGCTCCGACAGCTTCGATCTCTGAACCCGCCTCGAGCACTTCCCGCTCCTCGTCAACCTCCCCGGCTAAGGCCATGTCGGTCGAGATCAAAGGCCCACTCAAGCGCACGGCCCTGCTATCTCCAATCGCAAGAATACTTCCACCAATAAGGGCAAGACGTAGACGCCCGTCTAAAGAAATCCAAGACAACCTTCGAGCTCGAGTTCGCCTCCTGCTTATCGCCCGCTGTAGCTACTGCTATCCAAACTTTCATCGACGAAGTCGTCGCGGACGGCACCAAGCCGTGACGTCTTGGTTATGCGTGGGTCGGACGCCAAGACCTACTACGACCTGGTCGAGTTCCCGGACCTGTACCGAGGTCACTATCGCTTCTGGATGACCGGACACTTGGATTTGAGGCCCGACAAAGCCGTCAGTGACACCAGACGCAAGCTCAAGTGGCGCCTCAACCTGTCGCGTAGCGCGTTTATCAGTCTCAATATTGCGATTCTGGGGTATTACGATCCCGAAGACCGTCTTGGCTCGTGCGACGACATGTTTTGGCTTGGCGCCCAGCCAACAAAGGTCCTTCAGAGGCGAAGGTCTTTTTTAGGCGTCCCAGCTTAAGGCCTGGCCACGCTGGCCCCACAAGTCCCCAAGCGCTTCAAGGTCATCCTCGCATATGCACTGAGCCCGGACTTCATGGACGACTACGACTACCGCGACTTGAAGCTTTTACTCGAGTCGAGGAACTCGTACGATGACCTTGGCAACCCCAGCGTAAAGTTGGACCCCTATCACTCAGCAACATTTAAGAGACACGATGACCCAAACTAACTCCATCTATCATGGACTCAACAAACGTTATAGTATCCAGCGACCGCACAGCGAATGACTCAACCCACCGGGTGAAAAAAATCCACAAAAAGCAATATGTACTTGTTTCCTTTCTCCGTTGTTGGTAAAGGACCAACGGCGTCGACTACCAGCAGAACAGACCTGAAAGGTCCATGACAGGCATCCACATCGGTCCCGATCTCCAAAGTCTTGACCCATTTCCACCGCTACAATTAACACCAGACCGGGCGTACTCGGTCACATCCTTCTTCTAACCAGGCCAACACGCGTGTTACCGTACGCAATCAGCCGTCTTTGTTTTGTCAAGGGCAGTGGCAAAGCTATCCACGCAGGGGCTAATGGTAACCAAATATCAT